TTTTTTTTTTAAACCTGGGAAGCTCAAATCAGTTTTTAAGACTAATGAATAATTTCTGTGAATCACTCGTGTTCTCCTTTAACGTCTTCAGAGGTAAATGTACACTGGCTTTTTTGTATAGTGGCTTCTGTCATCACCCACCACTGCCACTGTCTGATAATTGGAGGAAGTGATGTCACTTCCCCTGCATAAGACTTGAGCCGCTCTCTGTGAGACAATCTGCATCCGTGCCTTATTTTGCCTTCTTATTGACTAGTACTGCAGTGTTTTGTAAAATATCCAGCAATGTTTTGTCCTCCAACTCAATAGCTGCTCAATTTCCCATGGGGTTGTGTTCCAATAATGCATGGTCAAAGCATCAGTGATGAATGCAGTCAGTGGTCCTAATGCTCCAAACAGTGTACCTCATCCTAACCTAAGTTAATTATGCTTACACAATTAAGTTAGCCATCAGGTGGGCAATATGTTACAAATTTTGTCTAATTTTGCTTTTCTTTGAGACAGGGTCTTACCATGTAGTGCAGGCTAGCCTCAAACTTGTGGAAATCCTCAGATTTTTATGTGTGGGTTGTACAGGCATGCACTGCCATTTCTTGCAAATTTTTATGAGTAGTTTATAATGAAATATTAAATGACTCATTTGCCTCATGAACTATACTACATTGCAGAATATAGTACTAACATTTACATGCTGAAATGTGTGGCTAATCATACGACAGCTCATTTCTCATTCTTATTATCACCGGAACATTGCACAGTGCACACTGCTGTTCCATCCAAAGGAAAAGTGGAAATAGAGGTCATTTTATCCTGAGCATATTGATCTCCTACTAGTTTAGCATCAAACATCCTGCTGGTACTGCAATTTCTGTCTGTATTCCCACCACTCAAGCATGTGTGAGGCAGGCAGGGCCCCAGTCAGCTTCTGGGGCCTTGGTCACCTCTCCCTGCAGCCCTAGCACCCCCTCAGGAATGGAGCTGAGCCCTGGACATCTTCAGGAACCCCAGCGAGCCACCTCCACACCTCCCTGAGCAGTGTGCAAGGCAGACAGAGCCACTGTCACCTTCTGGGGCCTCAGGTGCCACTCCCAGCACTTCCTGCACCTCCACAGGAGCCGAGCTGAAACCTGGACAGAGTCAGAGCGCTTGGGGACTCCACCCTCACCCCGCCCCTGCTGGCCTGGGAACTGGGCTGGCCTGTGGGCAGTGTCTGAAGCCTCGGTGACCATGACCAGCACCCCCACCCTTGTGGAAGTTGGGCTGAAACCCAGACAGCTTCAGGAGCTGCAGTGAGCCTCCCATGCCCCTCGCCCACTGGCCTGGGAGTCAACTGAAT